AGGACCATGTCGATGAAGGCCCGACGGATCTTGGCCTTACGCTCTTCCGACAAGGGCGCCATTTCTAATTCAAGCATCCGACTTTTTTTCAGGTTGAGAAGTCGGTCAGCAAAGTCTCGCTCATCCTGGTCAGCTGGGATATGGGTACTTTTGATCTCAGGGTTCAAGCGGTGTTTCTCCAATTTCTCCAAAAGGAAAATCTGCAGCTCATCGACACTGTAAATGCCGTTTTCAACACGGTCGATGACCCAGCGCAACGTCAGCGCAGCATTCAACTCCAAGTCCCACTCTGTGACTGTATCCTCGTTCAATACCTTATTGGAGTCTACCACGGCTTTCTTACCGACGTCGATGCCCTCCTGAAATTTGAGTTCGGCTGCGGCTGTCATCTCTTGACGGAGCTTAGTCATGGTAATCTCATGGGCCTCACGACTTCGGATTAGCTCAGCATCTTTGTCAGATCGATCTTTTCGAACAGCTTGAAGTTCGACCCTGAATTTCATGAGTTGTTCATCTTTTTCCTTTGCCGTTTGTTCAACTTTGGCAAGCTGAACCGATATAAGATCATGGTCCAGCAAGAGGTTTTCTCTCTCAGTCTTAAGTGCGCCCACCTCGGTTTGTGCTGCCTTCAGCTGGGCATTTTTTTCCGACATCGATGCCTCGTATCGGGACTTCTCATCCTCTAAGGAAGCTATGGCACCTTCTTTTAAGCTCAACTCATGTTGCTTCTCGTCAAGCTCGTGAACTCTGCCCCGATAACTTTCCTTGGCCGCTACGAAGCTGACAAGTGCCCGTCCCAAGCAACCTCGGGCATAACTGAATTTTTGGTCATCGGGCAGAGACACAATTCCAACATGAGTTTTCGGATCCCACGACATCAGCGGAACTTTCGCCGCCTTCACTGCCTCGTCGGGGAATCGATGATTGTTTGTGACTTTTGGTTCGACGACAGTTTGGAACATTGCAAACCAGGGATCGAACACATCCTCTGGCAGCTTTAAGCCTTTAACTCTGCAGCTTTCTTCTCGTTTACTCTAAGGAAAGAGTCCCTCAGGATGATTTCGGGCTCTTCCTCCTCCTTGCCCTTGCCTGAACAGACGTCTTGTTTCTTCTTCATCTGCTCCGCTACATGCAATACGCTCGATCTTTTGCGGCGGTGAACCAAGCCTAAGCCAGCTTCCTTTGGCACTTCTTGAGAGACTTCGATTTCGGCCACAGGCTCAATCACTGGCATGATTACTTGCTGTATCGGTTCAATACTAAGTGGCGCCTGATTGTGTATGGCAGCTGGTTCATTCACGATAGCTGGGCTCGGCTCCACCCTTGTCGCTGATGGCTCACCAACGACATCTTGAGATCGGTTGGGGTTCTTTTTCCACGCCTTAAGAAGATTCATGCGTCCCACCATCTCGGTCGATGGTAGACTTTTGTTTTTTCCAACTTTGTTCTTTAAATCTGAGTTTGGATTGCATCTCCGATGCTCTTTTGCTTCAATGGGATCCCCAAAACCGAAGTATCCCAGCAACAGATAATAAATTGTCGAATAAAATGTCTCAAGTTAAGACCGACATCATCAATATGGAACACAAAATAAAGCAAGTAAGAAGCTTACCCGGTTGAAACGAAGAGTCTATTATTCCGGGAGAAAAGCCAGCTAGCTATAGCCGAGAATCCTTCACAAGTCGTTGGTATCGCCGCTTGTTTGGAGAAACTTCGAACAATTTATCAACTCGATCGTACAGTAAACCTTCAAATCTAGATTCTTTCTTCCCCGCCGGTTTTGCTACAAGGTCACAAAAGTCCACCTGTTAGCGAAAACAAAAAACAAAATATTAATACTTGAAGTGAAGAAAAAGATAAGTTACTTACAATAACCAGACTTAATAGCCATCGGGATACTTGTCCCATTGGCAAGAAGATCATTGGCGAAGTCGGCACACTGCCAGTCTCCACCAACCCACAACCATTCTTCCTGAAATCCATGAAGCGTATCGGGGATTTCAGTTATCAGCTCACCAACTTTAACCCTCGACTGAGGTTTACCGACAAGTGAGAAGGTTAAAAGTGGGTCCGTAACTTGTCTATCCGGACTTTTCTGAAATTTAAACATGCTCCTCATGTCCCTTGCCGATGGTAAATCCCATTTCTTTTCGGCTAAAAGCACGAGCAGTCCGATAACCCGTTTCCATGAATTTGGAGCGATTTGACACAAGGGAAATATCCAGTTCCGTAAATACTCCACGATTATGCGCGGCAAAGGGAATTGCAACCCCGATCTTAAACTTTCAGCGAACACGCCGACACACCCTGGCGGCGGACACATAATCTTTTCCCCCGGATATGGCGCAAACAAGTGTACCGACGTCGGAACTCGCATCTCACCCCGCAACATAATGACATCAGCGTCTGTCAATATGCTCGGTTCACCATGAGATGTAACTTCGGGGTCCGGCCACCTTCTAATAGGTCGTCTTCAAAATCTTGGGTCATCAATAGCATTCTCCTCCATTGTTTTGTCCCCCTCAGCGTCATTTAATCGGATATTTAGGCGTTCGACAAACACCGAATCCCACCGATTATATTCAGACAATAATTCCATTTCCCCGGAGTGGACCATGTTGATCATCATGACATCCAACTCGTCGTCACCGGAAGGCGCCCACGATACACTCATGATTTGAAGAAAAATGTGCTGAAGTAGATAAATAAAACAAAGAAATAATTCTTACCACAAAAAGAAATTCGCAGATCTGAGGTGCTTTGAGAACAGTTGTGAAGCGACAAGATTACGAGAAAATAATAAATTTAGTTGCAAAAGAAAGTTGAAGGTAAAGTAAATCTCAAGAGACGATTTCCTATTTATACGAAACCCTAAATTCAGCAATGACCATTGGGAGAAGGAGGAAATAGGGGCGCGTGGATTAAACAGTCTTAATTCGCGAGTCGACACGATCTTTGAGAATCGCGCCTCTCAGCAGTAGCTACGTAGCCTATCAAAAGTAATTGTTGCCCTTATCAGCGAATGTTGCAATTAATTTTAATAACTTGCGTCGTTTCAACTTTCAGCACCATTTCTGTACCAAGTGTAAAGACATCGGTAGAACGGCTGCAAAAACCGACATGTCTCACTCTCTCAAATTAAGTTGCTTCCTGGTGTATTTTCAGCATCACTGCCCGTCTTTTCTCAAGACATCCATTAATGCTGGGGGCCACCTTGTTGACATGGTTTTCGGTAAACTAAGTTAGTGATACTTATCGGGTTCTTATGCTCAATGAATGGAAGATTATTTTCCCTCAAAAGGTTGATATGTTCGCGGATCCCAAAACAACCACGTATCGGGCGAAGACAGGCCAAGAACCGATATCCCCATCACTTAACCGACATTTCATATCGGTTAGTACATGTCGGTTATGACATATCGGTTATGACTTATCAAGCCGATATCTATGACTTTCCAAACCGACCTCCTATGGCGGCGCCAACTCAGCACAAGTCATCATTACACCTTATCAAGTGGCGTGTTACGAGAATAGCTAGCGATCAGCCGCCTTTGACTTTTTCTGATGTAATGATTACGATTATGATAATGTTGTACAAAATATATAAGGAAGAAAAAAAAAAACTTCCAACACATATATAGAAGAATACAAACATTCCTACTTTTTACATCTGATGTTTTTTCAGTAAATCAAATCGTCTTGACTAATCAGCATCTTTGGCTGTTATAGATTTGTTGCTAATCCCCATATAACAACAGCTTACAATTTTGCAAAAGTCAAATTCTTTCTCATTTTTTAATAAAAAATACATATTACCATAAAATAGAGAATTTTGAATTAGGCAAAATACTATCGCATATTGTATCGAAAAAAAATATCGCATATATATTTTCCTAATTGATGTGGATCAATTGTTTATTAAAAAATCAGATTGCATAGAAATCGTGTTACTTTAGGTAAAAAATTTGCATGACAATTTTGTTAAAGTCAAAATTCTCTCATTTTTATTAAAAAAATATGTTTAGCATAAAATCGATGATTTTGAATTAGACAAAATACTATAACATGTATCTTTGCCTATTTGAAACATATCATGTTTATTAAAAAAAAAATTAGATTACAAATAAATCGGCCCAATTTCAAGCTGATAATTAAAATTTAAAAATCCCATATCATTTGGCTACTACTTTCTTTAGTTCGATTTTTTTTTTTAAAACATAAAACAGAGTTATATAATATTCATTTGAAATTCAAAATGAAATCGGAATGGAACATCCTACAAAATTTGGGTTTTGTTTAATCCTATAGAATACAAATTTGGAATTGCTTGCATACACGTACACAATTTTTTCATTTCTTAAATTAAGCAATTTATAGTTTTAAAATAATAAGATTACAAATAATCAAGAAAGCCGTTTTACAATCTATTATATTTGACTATGCAATTTTTATAAAACCAGCATAAATCATATCATATATATCATGTTAAACAATTTAATTGATTTATTTAAGCCTATTTAGAATCCTAATATATATAGGTGTCAAGTGTTTATTTTTCTTAAATACGGTTTATACGTTGTTTTCTGTGTAATAATATATAAAGTTATATTTTTTTCCAATACATGATTTTTACGTTCTTCCAACCATTCAATATAAATACTTACGTTAATAAAAAATTAACACATGCATCACATTAGTACCGCACTAGTCATACCGGAAAGTGGTTTTTTTCATTTATCATATTTTTACTTCCCAACAAAATTACAAATTTTAGAATAGACGAGTAAAATTGCAAATTATGCAAGGCTAAAGTAGGCATAATCCCAAATTTACCCTTTCACTTGTCCTATCCTCCTCCATCGTCCTCTTCTGCCAATATAAAAAAAACGTTCTACAATTTTATTATTTCCTCAGAAATCACCATATTTCTCCCCCAAATATTGCACTTGGTCGGTTTTATCTTACGAAAATTCACGTGTTTACATGTGAAGAACTGGACAATGGATTGTTGCAAAGACGCAAAGGCGATAATGGGTCAGGTTGTATGCCCCAAGCCTCGTCGGGCCGGGCCGTCTATGGTGGTTCCCTTGAGATCTCGCATGTGTGACGATGCCGAGTCCAAACCGGGTGCCGAAATGCTTGGCTTAATCTTAAAGGTAGATTTCCAGATTTCATTTGATTAATTGCTTGATTTTAGGTGCTTAATCATGCTTAATCATGTCTGATTAGTTTTTTTTTCCATTATTTTGTGTTGATTTTCTGTAATTTATAGGGATTTATTGCTAAATCTCTTCACATCCCTGTGCTAATGTGGATTGAAATCCTCGCGCTGTTTCGCCATTGTTCTGTATGCTTTTTCCTGGCATTGTGTTTTGGTAATTTGGTACACTGAGTCTTAAACTTCAAGATGCTAATAGTTAATTGATAATGGTTATGCTGCTATACGGCACAGGCTGAAATTTCTAAGAATGCTTGTGTAAATAAATGCTTGAATCGTTCAGTGGAAATTTGCTTCGGATGTTTAGTGTACTCCACGTTCGGTTTGAATCTGTTGGATAAATGTGTATCCGAATAGTAAACCCATTTTTCTTAATCATTTAGCACGAGTGGAAACAGGAAATCTGATCCTAGATTTCTGTATGGACCGTTTGAGCATGATAACATTCAACTTAAACTCTAATAGCTACCAACGGGCGAATTTGGTTTAGATTTCGTGTAAGAAACTTTATTTTTACTAACCCTCGCAAAGTAAACCGAGTTACAATCGCCAAACGAAGTAAATACGGATTGTACACCGATAACTGCCTTGTTAAAATTGGCAACTTCATGGAGCCTAATGTTATTTCATTTATCACTTACAGGACGATTTTCAAGGGTCGGTATCACCCCCGTTTTTCTTTGGATCCCCTCCGTGCAGAGCCTCAAATCCTGTTGTGCAAGATGCTTCTTTTGGGACTGAACCGAATAAGCTAAGTTCCATTCGCAAATGCCCTAATGATTCTGCTGAGAATGCTAGAAAACAGTTGGGTAAAGAACAAGCAGCCGTGAGAATTGAAGGCTTTGATTGCCCGAATACCCGTGCTGTTGCCATGGTGTAGAAAATCGAAAAACAGCATGTAGAGAGGAAAAACGAAAAAAAAAGAAAGAAAAGAAAAAGACGACAAGAAGAATAACTTTTGATGTCTTTATGGGGGTTTGGTTTGGGGTAGGATTGGGGAGTCGAAAAGGCAATTTCAACCTAAAAAAGTAAATTTAGCGTTGAGAATTGCATACTGAAATGTTATTTAGTGGCACATTCTTTTGTTAATATTGTGTGCAGTCAAATTCGGAATTGTAGATTGAATGAGGACCGCAAAGTTGTGACCTTATGATTCTGTTCTAGCCGTGCGTAAGGCGATTTTGTCAGGAACACTGTAAAAGTGTTCATCTGTATATACAATGGCGCATTCGCGCTTTAGTAGTTATCTCGAGATACCTTCATTTTTATGCTTTCTTAGTTTTATATACTGTAATAATTTAGCAGTAGCTTGTCAAACTAATTGAGTATTAGCTGTTGCTTTCAAGATATTTGCTACTCTCTCTCTCTCTCTCTCTCTCTCTCTCTCTCTC